AAAGACATATTATATACATATCTATGGTACTAAACCAAAATTTGACCTATAATGGGTACCTATAATAAATTCCAAATTAATCATATCACAATATCCATTAGGTACTTATAATGCATTATAAGTCAACAACAAACCCTGATACTATCATAATAGATATATAATAGTGTACTTTAGAAGTATCAAGTACCCACGAATAACATTATTCAATCACAACAAAATAACTAAAATAGTTATTCTAGGTTTTTTAATATGTAATTTCGTCCAAATTTGAATTTAAAATGTCTATAAAAAATAACTGTGTTCATATATTTTTTAGATTTTTTGGTGAAAGTATCAACTATTTATGAGAACCTTTGTTTTAAATTTGCAATCCTTAGCTATAAAAACTGAACATTTTATAATTTATTAATGGTTGATAATTTTCGAGATTTTGATAAATTTTGTCAAAATTCGATCTTTTAATGCTTATAAAAAAAAACTGTGCCTATGTATTTTTAATATTTTTCAACTGATATTGTAACAATATATCAGGAGCCTTGTATTAAATTTTTACACTTTTTGGCCCAACAGATAATACTTAATTGATATTTATTTATTTTTTTTTTTTATTTTTATAATTTTTATTTACAATCTGTTACAATAAAATGAACAATAAGTAAAATAGATAATAGAATGAGGAAAGGCTTGAGGAAAGGACGGATTTAAGAAGCCTTCCAGTGAAGACACTTTGTCAGCTGTTTATATACATTTCAATAAGTTAACAATAAAGTTATAAATATAAATAAAGATTAGATAATTAACTAAATTAATAGGTCCCGACACCACCGCCTTTTTAATTGATATTTATAGAAAAAAAAACTAAAAAAAATTGAAAGCGGTAAATGTCCGTAAATAGCTCAAAAAGAGTCAAAATATTTTCAAAATTTTATAGTGTATAGAAAATGCTAATTTAAACAATCAGTGAAATTTTCATGTATCTACAGTTATTCGTTTTTGAATTACAACAAAATAAGGAAATCGCTACATGAGAAATCGAGTGAATATCCAATGTTGTACAAATTTGAATTTCAAACGCTCATAAAAATTTAATTTGACTTTCTTATACACATTTTTTTTTTTTGATAAAGGTAGATAATCTTATAAGGAATCTTGTATTACATTTTCAAATCTTAGATTTAAAAAGAAAAATTTTTACGAATTCTTAACTCAAAGTAATTTGCTAATTTTCGTGATTTTTCCATATTTTGTAAATTTTTGAACTTTAAATGTTTATAAAAAAAAATTGTGACCAAGGATTTTTAATATTTTTTATCTGCCTTTGAAACAATATACTAGGAGCCTTCTATTAAATTTTCAAGCTTTTGCAACCAACAAATAAAATTTTATTGATAGTTTTAGAAAAAAAACTAAAAAAAGATGGAAAATGAAAATGTCCCTAAACAGTTCAAAATAAATCAAAATATTTTGAAAATGTTATCGTGTATATAAAATGCAAATATAAACAACCAGTGAAAATTTCATGTATATACGTTCATTTCTTTTAGAGTTGCACCTTAAACCAAAATTGATTTTTTGGAAAAATTCCCGTTTTCCTTAATTTTTATGTTGTTTTTCTCGGCGCTTGTGAAAACTACTGGGAATTTTAAATTTTGACCTCCCCAATGCACCAACGATATTCACTTTCCAATCAGAAAAGCTACTGTTGAAGAAAATCCAAGCACTTTTACTGTTTTAAAACGTGATGACAGACACAAAAAAAAAATAAATAAAAAAAAAACACATTGTAAAATCAATACATTCATCGTTTCACTCAGAATCTAAAAAAAAAATAAAAATATGGATTTATGTCTTTTATTATTTCCATCCTTTAATGAATTTTATACTAAATTAAATCAATATACTAATTTAATAATCAATAATAATAATAAAATAGAGATGACCGATAAAGGTATTGGTTTTACAATGATATGTGTTTTTTTATTTTTGTGTGCGAACGTCGAAATAATGCTTTGATTTTCAACTTCAGTATCTTGTTCAACGGGAAAGTGAATCTAGTTGGTAGTTTTGGGAGGTAAAAGTTTAAAATTTCCAATAGTTTTCCAAAGTGCCCGGAAAAACCAAATAAAACTTTAGGAAAAACGGAAATAAGCGTTTGAAATTAATATTTTCACAATATTGGATATTCACTCCATTTCTCATGTAGAGATTTTGTTATTTTGTTGTAATTCAAAAACGAATAACAGTAGATACATGAAAATTTCACTGAATATTTATATTCTTATTTTCTATACACCATATTTTGAAAATATTTTGACTCTTTTTGAGGTGTTTACGGGCATTGTTAGTTTTCAATTATTTTGGTTTTTTTTCTATAATTGTAAATGAAATTTTATTTGTTGGGTTAAAAAAGCTTGAAAATTTTATGCAAGGCTTGATATATTGCTTAAATGGCAGTTGAAAAATATTAAAAATACATAGGCATAACTTTTTTTATAAGCATTTAATGTTGGAATTTTGACTAAATCTATCAAATTTAAAATTTAATAATTATTTTGCATTTAAACATTTATAAAATGTTCAACTTTTATAGCTAAGGATTGAAAATTTAATACAAGGTTCCACGTAAATAGGTTATAAATTAATTACTTTATTCACAATAATATCATCAAATATACTTAGTAATATCATAGGCTGACATAGATACATGGAAATTTCACTGAATGTTTATATTAGCATTTCCTATACACCATACAATTTTGAAAATATTTTGACTCTTTTTGAGCTATTTACGGATATTTTCATTTTTCAATTTTTTTATTTTTTTTTCTATGAATATCAATAAAGTTTTATCTGTTGGGCCAAAAAGTGTAAAAATTTAATACAAGGCTCCTGATATATTGTTACAATATCAGATGAAAAATATTAAAAATACATAGGCACAGTTTTTTTTTATAAGCATTTAAACATCGAATTTTGACAGAATTTTTCAAAATCTCGAAAATTATTAATCATCGTAATTAATAAATTATAAAATGTTCAGTTTTTATAGCTAAGGATTGAAAATTTAAAACAAGATTCCACGTAAGTAGTTAATTCTCTTACCAAAAATCTAAAAAATATACAATCACAGTTTATTTTTATAGTCATTTTATGTTCAAATTTGGACGAAATTACATATTAAAAAACCTAGTTATTTTGTTGTGATTATATATTATTATTCGTGGGTACCTACTTGAAACTTCTAAAGTGTACTATTATATATCAATGGACAATGATAGTATCAGGGTTTGTTATTGATGTTGATGAATAACGTGTTATAAGTACCTAATGGATATTGTGATAATGTTATATGATTAATTTGGAATTTATTATAGGTCAATTTTTTTTTTAATACCATAGATATGTATATAATTTGTCTTAAACCTAGACTGACATACCGTTTTTTTCGATTTTCTCAATAGTTATTTAATGCCACTGGAAAAAGTACTGAAAAATTACGAAAAACCGCTTAAAATGGGATTTTAATTTCTAACAATTTGTTTATCACCGTAGCAACAAATAAAAAAAATAATAATTAAATAAATAAAATAATTAATGACAATATAAAATATACAGACTGACAAACCGTCTCCGTTCAGAATCGTTTTTCTTATACAATGATATTGTATCATTGAATTCAAATTTAATACCATCCATTATACAGTGACCCACTTGTAACCTACAGTACAGCAGAGCGACATCCACTTGCCCACCTTTTTTATATTTTGAATGTGGAGGAGCCAGAGAAACATACGTTACAGAATCGATATGGTTAAAAAATGGTTTTTAAAAAAATTTAAAACAAGGTTCCAAGCAAATATGTTATATTATACAAATTACTTTATTCACAATAATATCATCAAAATATTTACTTGGTAATATTATAAGGTGACTGACCGTCTTTGCTCAGAATCGTTTTTCTTAATACAATGATATTATACCACTGAATTCAAATTTAATACCATCCATTATACAGTGACCCACTTGAAACTTCTGTACAGCAGAGCAACATCCACTTACCCACCTTTTTTTTTAAATTGTGTTTTGTGATCATTTTATAACCATTTTCCTAATGAAATAATGAAATATTTATTTTAAATATAAAAATATTTACTAAAAGTCCATGTAACATTAAAACTTGTTTTACTAATATTTATTACTTAAGAGGGGAAATTAGGTTATTAAAAGTGTTAAATATGAATTCATAATATATGTCTAATATACTTAAATAACACCTTAAAATATTTTCTTAATAATCCTTAAATTTGTCAAATATACTGAAAATATTCTTTTAAGAAGACTTAAAGACTTAAAGACGCAAGTAGTATGCAACCTTATTATATTGTTATGTTCATTGTAGATTAAAAAGAAAAAAGAAAAAAGAGAAAAAAGACAAATTAAAAGTTTGTAATCTTCAAAAAAAAAAAAAAAAATGTATTTTACATAAAACTGTTTTTTTCTTCATTAGGTACACAATAATAACAATTTAAAAATCGATAAAACTATATTGAAGAAACAAAAGTTTTATTCTGAGACTTGTGATGACAGCGACAAGCATTTGAAAAAAGACAAAACAGGGGATTCTATTTTCAACAAAGGTCAGTTTTTTTTTTTTTGTGGCTATGATACTGTTATTTGATTATTATTTAAACTGTTGGTTTATATTTTTAGATGAATTGACAAGAAAGATTCCTACTGCTAATACTTCAGAAGGCGACTCTTTGTAACTATCTATGAAAGTTTAAATTAGTTAATACAATCAAATTTTTATTTATTGTACACTTAATAATAAGTTACTTAATTAATTTTGCGCATTATTTACATTTAAACATTTTGATTGATGTGTCTTCTCTGATTTTTATCTTATGGTTGCTCTCGTGCAAATTTAAATTAATTCCCATAAAATTTAAAAACATATAATAATTGATTATTAATACTATAGATGGCTCACAGTGCGGTTTATGGGTTGTACAAAATATTTACTGCCAGTAGATGGCAAGACAAAAATAGTACTATCGATTACAACAATACTGCCCATTACTAACCCGGGTGGCCGTGGTTTGGGTGCAGGCGTTTGGTTAGCAGTAGACAGTACTGTTGTAATCACTAGTAGTATTTCTTCTCCCCATCCACCAGCAGTAAATATTTTGTGCCACTGAAAAGCCATCCAGTGAACAATCTATAGTATTTTTAATCAATGATCATATGTTTCTACATTTTATGAGAACTAATTAAAATGTGCACAGGAGCAACCACAATATAAAAATCAGAGAAGACATACCAATCAAAATGTATTTATTACATATCTGTTATTTTTATATTTTTATACGTAGTATTGTATTTTATTGTTATGCACTTGGTAGATTTAAAAAAAAGAAGAAGAAAAAGAAACGAGATACAGCAATGGTTTGTTTTTACAGAAAAATAAAATAATTATAAATATCTATAAGAATGTTATGTTGTCTTTAGGTACAAAATGGTGAACATTTTAGTAACAATATAGTTACATTGCAAGTAGAGAAGTTTTGTAATGAGACTTGTGATGATAATGTCAATTTTTATGAAGGTCTGTTCTCTTGGTTTCAATGATAATTATGATTTATACTATTATTTGTTTATTATTTAATATGTTGGTTTATATTTTTAGATGAATTGACAAGAAGCATTCCTATTGCTAATGATTCAGAAGGTGACCCGTTGTAAGTACTGATCAATGAAAGATCAAAATAAATTTTTTTTTTTTTTTTTTAACCCGCGACAACTTTTGAATGGTTTTTAACTGTGGGGAAGGGTACTGTAGGTTAAACACGTGTGTTTTTTAGTTTGGCTGATTTTTTAGTGGGCACCCGTAGGTATCTGCCATGCCGGGTAGGGGATGGCGGCACTTCTCTCCGGACACCGTGACTGCCCCAAGAAAAATGCTGCCCGTGGACGAGGTTTTGAACTTTTGTCGGTATGCGTCGCAACCGACGCCTTAGTCCGTTCAGCAACTCCTTCCCCCTCAAATTGAATTATACAATCTTATTTTTATTTATTGTTCATTTAATAATAAGTTGCATGATTAGTTTTGTGCCTTATTTACATTTAACATTTTTTATTGGTGTGTCTTCTCTGATTTAAATCTTGTGCACGTTTAAATCAATTCTTAAGAAATTTACAAACATTTAATGTATGCATTGGGTTAAATTAGTTAGGTAAAATTGCATTATAAAATCATATTTTTATTCATTGTACATTTAATTATAAGTCACTTAATTAATTTTGTGCATTACTTACATTAATAATATTTTATTTTACTGGTCCTTAAGCCTCTAATTTCATCCTTAATAAATAAATAATTAGTCAAAAAAGCTTATTTTAATATGTTGATATGTATTCTCTGATTTTATTCTCGTGATTGCTCTTGTGTATTCTTAAATTAATACTTTTCAAATGTACAAACTAACTATCAATCTTGCATAGCAAAATATTTATACGCAATACCAATTTATGACAATATCGTTTTAATGTTTTTGGTGTACTTTACAAACTTATAAGTGCAGATACTTTCAATCTTCACAAAATGTCAGTATGACTTACCATACATAATAAAATGTTTGGTATATTTTAACTATTATAGCTATAAGAGATTTTCTATTTTATTATAGTTTTTTTCAATTATTGAAAACTTTAATAATAACTTTAACACATCTATTATAATGACATACTCAACAACTGCTGTACAGCAAAGCCAATTGTCCACCCTTATTTATATGATATTGTATTTTGTTGTTATGTTAATTGTAGATTTAAAAAAAAAAAGAAGAAAAAGAATAGAGATAAAAAAATGGTTTGTTTTGACATAAAAATTAAATGTATTAGATATAAGACTGTCATGTTCTCTTTAGGTACAAAAAGATAAACATTTAAAAGAGGATACATCTATTTTGAATGTAGTACAATTTTATAATGAAACCATTGATGACAATGTCAAGTATTTGAATAAAATCAATATAAGTGCTCCCAATTTAAATAAAGGTACGTTATTTTTGTGACCATGATGTTAATATTATATTAATATTTAATGTGTTTATTAAGAAGATTTTACAACAATTATTCAAATTGCAAATGCTTCAGAAGATGACGAAGAATTGACATTGTAAGTTTCTAAATAAGTTCTTTACTTATTATATAGTATTTAGTATCGTTATTATTTAGTTTGATTTATACAATATATAAATCATACAATTGTATTGATAAATAAGTTATTTAATTTTGTTTATTGTTTACATTAAATATTTTATTTTTCAAATTTTACATTGGGCTCGCATTGATCTAATTGTAGGTGTTAATTTCTCATAAATAATACATTTTATAATATTATATAATTTTTTACATTGCAAATCTACATTGACATTGTGCACCCAAATGTAAAAACTAACCGTCCTAACCTAGTGAAAAATTTCAGATTGAACTGCATAAACTATTTAGATTTTGATCAAAGAAAAGAATCTGTTTGATTTTTTTTAAATAATGGTTAATAATGTTATGTTTATTAGTTCATTGTTTAGTGAATAACTAAGTATTTTAGCATATTTATTTGTCACGTAAATAATTTATTTTATAATTTGTATTTTCTTCTGTTTCAATACCTTCTACGTAATATTTGAACATTGAATCGTTTTTATATTATTTTACTTCATTGTTTAGTGAACCGTCTTATTGTTTTAGGTTAAAAAGTCCATTCAAAAAGATTAAGAGAAAGAAGAAAAAATCTAAGGTTGTTATTATTTTATTAATTTACACTTTTTGTAATTTTTTTGAATTATAAGAAATATTTGTCTAATATTATGTCCTAATATAATAATATTATCTGTCCTTTATCAGGACAGACTCTGAAAGGTATTGGTCATTTTTGTAAAATAAATAAACATTCTAAGATTTATATTTATATTCTTAAACATTTAATTTTAGATGGAAATAAATGATGGTACCCAGTCTTCAAAATATGTTACTATACAAAAAAATCTTAAAAATATGGAAGACTTGAAAAAAAATGTATCCAAAGAGCAGTCAAATGAGATTCACAATGGTAAAATTTGCATCTTACAAAAATGTCTTCTGAAATAAATGTTTTAGAAACTGCTATTAATTAGCATAATACAAAAGTCCATACTATATTAACTGATTTTGGGTATTTAATAATTTAATATTTAATACCTAACCTAACCTGACTAATCTAAATTATATGGGATTAGTGTTGACTTAAAATAGAAACAACATTGTTTGGATGTATAACTGTATAGGATGTATTTATGTCTATTTAATTTCTAATTTCTAAATGCTTTTAGTGTTATTTTATTACATATATATTGTGGCTATCAAAATCATAAAAAATAGTTGTAATAAGAAAGTGTATCTTAAATTCTTTCAGTATTTTTTGATTTTTAAGCTATTTATTGACAAATTGTATTTATTTTCTGTTTAATATTTCAATATTTATGGTATTTTTATTGAAAATAAATGTTATCACTATTATCGCTTATATGACAAAAATACATACCTACCTATTGTATTTCTTAAAAACGAAATTGTAAAATGTAGGAAAACTGTGGAAAATATTTTTTTATTGTCGGTTGGGTATTATTGTCTACTTACCTATACTATCTAACTAGTTTTATAAATCACATATGAGAGAGGAATAGAAAGCCTAATGGTAAACAATAAAGTGCTAATATTTATTCTAAAATATTTAATTTCATTAATATTATAAATAATTGTGTTGTGTTATATTATACATTTATACCATTATTTTAGATTCTGGTATGATTAACAATCCTTATAATTCGAGAATTTCAAAAGTCCATGAACAGTACCCTGAATTGTGAGTATGAGAATGAGTAAAATTAGCTCATACATTTTGTCTGCAATAACATATATAACATATAACATAAGTAAATATATATAACATATACTTATGTAAATATATGTAACATATAACATATGTATAGATATATAACATATAACATATGTAAATACTAAATATATATAATATATATATACAAGGTGATTCATTAAGCGTAAAACACTCATTATCTCAAAAATTATTAATATTTTTGAAAATATTTTTTTTACATAGTTTCAAGTTGTTAAAAAAACAACGTTTTCATTAAAAAATTATATTTTTAAATATTTTTTCCTTATAGTTTTTTAAGTTTTTTACTTTTTGAATGACAGCATAGAGTTTTAATTTCATATTCCAAAGCAGAATATTTTTCTAAGTATTTTAATACATAAAAATCGAACTTAGGACGAGTAGTTTATGAGTATAAGTATTTTTAAGTTTAGATGGGCGGTTGTAAGTGGATAAACATTTTGCGGTGTAACCCATACCACTCCACTCCGCTCATCTAAACTTAAACTACTTATAACTCATAAACTTCTCGTCCTAAGTTCGATTTTTATGTATCAAAATACTTAGAAAAATATTTTGCTTTGGAATATGAAATTAAAACTCTATGCTGTCATTCAAAAAAGTAAAAAAACTTAAAAAACTATAAGGATAAAAAATATTTAAAAATATAATTTTTTAATGAAAACGTTTTTTTAACAACTTGAAACTATTTAAAACAATATTTTCAAAAACATTAATACTTTTTGAGATAATGAGTGTTTTACGCTAAATCAATCACCCTGTATTGTGTATGGTATACTTCTAATTCTATTTATTATAAAACTATATTACAGTGAAAAATATAATTATTCTATTTTATTGTAGATTTCGGAAGATATTAAAACAAAAAAAAAAAAATAAGAAAAAATCTATTGAGGTCTGTATTAAAGTTTTAATATTTATTTTTATTTTTTATTTACATAAGATAAATAATTCAATTTGATATTCATTATTCATTATAGTCTATAGATTAGAAGTAGTGAAATACTTGTTAAAGAGTGATACGGTGGAAACTGAAATTTTTTTAATTATTAGGCTACAAAAGTTTTTAATAAAATTCTATAGTATTGAGCAGTGTTGGCCTGACCTGGCCGCTGGGGCCCCTCCTTTTTTTTAGGGTCTTGTAAATAAATTGTTTTATTTACTTGGCGTGTTTCTGGTCTATATAGTGAATAGGGACTGTAAAGTATTTATAACAAGAATCCGCCTTTTTTACATTTAATTATTTAGGAAATATTATTTTTGAGAATTTTGATGTATCTAAACTAAAATTTGAACTAGTAGTTTTGAGTTATATAACTGTGTACTAAGGATAATATGTATATAGAAATGGGTTAAGTAGATTTGATGGCTCATATGATTTGAAAATGTTTAAAATTACTATTGATCTATCAATATAAATAATTTGCAAAACTGATTTAAGTGCTTATACTAATATTACATAATATGTAATTGATTTTTTAGAATTTTAAGTATATCTAAAGACCATATTTTCATATTCCTGATATTTTTTCTAATTAAGGAGTGTTCTATTGCAATACAAACTTCAATTTTTCAAATGATAAACCGTCCTTTTTCCTGAAAATTATTTAGCAATTGATTTTCTTGAAAATGTTGATGTATCTTAATCAAAATTCTAATAATTCAGCAACTAATTATTAAATTTTGATTATAGATACATCAACATTTTCAAAGAAATCAATTGCTAATAATTTTCAGGAAAAGGACGGTTTATCATTTGAAAAATTGAAGTTTGTATTGCAATAGAACACTCCTTAATTAGAAAAATATCAGGATATGAAAATATGGTCTTTAGATATACTTAAAAATTTAAAAATCAAATTTGAATAAATGTATTTTTAAAGACAAAAATGGTGATGATAATTTTTTCATTAAAATGTTAAGTACATTTTTTTGGGGCCTTTGTATTTCATTATGGGGCCCCTTATAAAAACAGATCCATGGGCCCTTGATATGCCATGCCGACAATGGTATTGTGGCAACCCTCAAGTCTCCCTAGAAATCCATAGAACAGTTATTTATCATCCATATTATTCAAAATGTATATGCTACATTATAATAAAAAAATTTTATAGTTTAAATTGTATGTTATACATTTTGACAATAATTAAAAAAATGTATAATCATTGTCTGTGTTTTTAACAACATTTTCATAAATAAAGAATTATAACTAAAGAAATAAAAAACGGGTTAATGTTTTTATTTTTTTTTGTGGGGGGCATACAAATATTGTAAATATAGCCTTGATTGCTGGGGTGTGTGTACTTGGTTGAGTTTAATTATTGTATGGAACATTAATGTAAGTCTGGGAGTCTTCTTTCTCTTATTTTTCAATTACTGTGAATAACTATAAATCCTAGAATTGTTCTCCTAATATTTATGTTGCATTATTGCACTTTCTAAACGTGGTTAATTTAAAAAATATTTTGGCTCATGTTTGATCTATTTTAGGTTTTTTTTAGATTATGTATGGCGGTAAATTTTCTGTTGATTAAAAAGTCCTGCACAATTTAATACATGGTTCTTTGTCAGTATTTATCATTGGAATTAAGAATACTGAAATTGTATAAATACAATTTTTTTATAGAATTTGATTTAAATTTGTCAAAATTAAAAATAAATAACATTTTAGGAAGTTTTCCTTATTATACCGCAAATGTAATTTGAGAATGTCTAATAAATATTTGAATTAATATTTTATAGGTCGTAACTATTAAAGAAGCAATGCCACCAAAAAAATCAAATAAACATAAAAGAGAGGTGACTGATAAAGAATATTCAAAAAACAATTCCTCTCATCAATGAACTGGATGTTCAGACATATGATAGTAATAATTATATTAGCGGAAAGAAATTAGAATTGTTTTATTCTCAGGGTGATCACACTTCGGAATATCGCACTATGACTGACATAGGTATGTATATTTTGATCAATATTGTAATCAAATGTTAAACACGCCAATGGTGTACACAGTCAAAAAAATGTTCTCACTGAAAACACTTTTCTCCAGTGCAACATTTGCTTTAAAACATTTATCAGAAAATCTAAATTATATATACATAAAAGAACGCACAGCGGTGAGAAACCATATATGTGCAACATTTGTGGTCAATCATTTTCATATAGAAACACACCTGGAAAAAGTATGTTGTTATGACATTTCAAAAAGCTTAAAGCATAGAAAAAAGCTACTGATATTTTTTATTTTGTTACAAACATTATTAAACCTATCAGCAACCAAAAGTTTATTGTAAGCAGTTAATGGTGTAATTGCTTCTAACAATAAATTAAAAATATTTTCTACTCAAGAATAATTTTGTAATCAGATAGTGAGTATAAGCTACTCGACTAAAATTAAAAAATAATATTTTGAATATATTAGTTATAAATTATTACTGTAGAGTGTAGACTGTAGTTCAATTTGACACCAAAAACGAACAACTCGAAATTCAACGTTGAAAGACTTAGACACCGAGAAATAGCAAAGCAGTATGAACAACTAGTACAGAAGGAGATAAGAAAAAACAATGGGAAGAATCCAACTGAGGATATAGAAAACCAATGGATTAAAACTAAACAAATTATAACAGACTGCGCTTCAGCGGTGATTGAAAATGTACCAAAACGAGAAGGAAGACTTTGGTTTAATGTTAAATGTTGAGAAGCAGTAAAGAAACGATCTGAACTTAGAAAGAAGCTGTTAAAAAATCCAACTGAAGAAAATAAAATCACATATGAAAATTGGAGAAAAGAAATACACAAAATATTAAGAAGAGAAAAAGAACTGATATGAAGGCGAAAAATAGCAGATGTACGGAATGACAGAATAATTTAAGTCTACGAGTAGATCTTATGTTTTTGAAAAAGTAGAGGAGTTTAAATATTTAGATTTTAGGGATAAACATAACAGCAAAATAACCTACATGAAGAAATAAAAGAACGGGTAGCTAGCGCGGACCAATGTTATTATAGTCTACTAAAACTATTCAGATCGTAGCTATTATAGAGAGAATCGAAGGTGACTCTATACACAAGGTACTTGAGACCAGTGTTGATATATGGATGTGAGACGTGGGCTACTACAAAAAGCGATTTCACTAAGTTATGTACAACAGAAAGAAAAGTGCTCAGAAAAATATTCGGCCCAGTCTATAA